ATCCAGCTTGCTATGTACATCTGTCTCACACGTGCCCCACAGGAAACTAAATCTTCCTACTTTTAAACTCATTTTAGTTTCTTTTTTGTTTAAAAAGTACATCTCAGAGTATATGCCCACTGGTCCCTCTCAAATTAGACTTCACAGGCTATGCAGCTTTCCCCACTGTAAAGAAAAATTTTAGGACCTGATTTTGTGAACTTACTTGTATGCATTTTTTTAAAAAAATTATAGAAAGACTGATCCTCTACTTTCCCAATGTAACTTTGAGGTAGTGGCTGGCCCCAGGTGGCCTCTCCTGATAGCTCACCTAACCTTTGGTTTTCATTGGATCGAGAACCTTGTGCTTCCGCTCCATGGTATAATGTTTGTATATCAATGCTCTACCATCAGGAGAGGGTGGATTTTGTGGAGTCCTGTAGCTTAGTGGTTAGAGCACTCATCTCGCAAGCAAGAGGACCCGGGTTCAATTCCAGAACGAAAGGTTAGGCAGGCTTCCTTACTCCACATGTCTCTGTTTATCTAGCAGTAAGTGGGAACCTGGATGTTAAGTCGATTGGTGGATCGCTTTTCCAGGGGTAATAAAAAAAATCAATGTTTGTGGGACACTGCTGTGCGCAATTGGCTGCGACATTTCATCCACAAAATATACAGTCAATTCACTTTACAGTATATTCTGTGAAGCGCTTTGAGACATCTCAAAGACATGATAAAGCCCCATATCAAATACAAGGATTATTATTATTTTCAAGTAGGAATTTCTCAATTAAATTCTGAACAAAGACAAGGTGTATGTTTTTTAATGTGTATTTTTGCTTTGAAAGCCACTGAGATTTCACGAAGGATCAAACAGACTCCACACAACAATTATATCATGTCTCATCCGAGATTCATGCCAGCACTTTGTATGGCTGTTGCGGTGTGCTTAGTAAAGATCTTTTCAAATTCAATGGCTTTTCGAAATGATTGTAACATTTGTAATCATTGAACCATTTAATGTTCTATTCGGTTTTCCCCCTTGAGCTCACCAAGAAATATCCAATGACATAATGAATAACCTTTCCACACAATAACATACCAGTTTCTTGGAGAACTAGCTACCTTTTGTTTAAAGCAAAATCTTGATTTTAATTCTGCAGTTCCCACAATGTCACTTACTAGGTAACAAGTCTCCTAATTATTGGAGATAACAGACTAAGATCAATCAGAGGTGTGTTACAAAAGCAGCCGTCTGACTGGTTGCCCCACTCTTAACTGGTCATTCTGGATTTTTAATGCCCTAGAAGGTACATGGGAGTGATATTTTCCCTGTTGAAAGTAACCTAGTATTCAGCGAAAACCCTTGTGGTGTGGCTCTACTTTATTAATACTGTAAAATACTTATATTTAATATCAAACTCTTCAAGGTGAAATGTTTCAAAGCATTTCATAGTGTTTCACTTTAAACTGTAGTGACCTTATATTTTGCATGCATTTTATTTCCTAACTGTGGGGTTGTTGATCAGAACACTGCCATATAGTGCCATAGGATCCTCGGATCAGACCTACATCCTGAGACCTCAGTTTAATGTCTCCTCTGAAGGAAGGCTCTTCCAAGAATTCAGCTCTCACCCAGCAATGTGTTGGGAGTGGCAGCCTAGACTGTGAGCTTACAGAGTTAAATTGAACCTACTTGCTGTTTTCTACTGAAATAAAACCCAAATCAATCTATAAATATTACACTAAATACTGAACGTCTGTCAGTGAATTGCAGACTATAATCTGATCTCAGAGCTTGGCTGATGAAAATGTAATGCAGACTGTGTGAGGCCTTTGATTGCAATCTTGTAATGAAATCCAGTATCCTTGGTTTATTTGGTCCTTTTTGATGACACAAGCACAATAAATTATCATATGAATAACTTCAGTGCCAATCGGAAAAAACACACAAAGTTAAGAACTTTATTTATATCAGAGGTTATTTTCACCGATTCTGAAAATGCATTGTTTTTTCACGGTATATTTTTCATCTTTTGCCATCCAACACAATTTCCTAAAAGATCTCCAGTTTGGCTCTGTGTAACAGCTTGAGCTGCATGTAAGTTATGTGTTGCTGTTGCAACTCACCTTGCCACCCTGAATATTCAAGGCGTTTAATATATGATAATGTTTAATATAAAATAATGACATTACAACTGGGATATTAAATGGTCTCACAGCAAATTGGGTTAAGGTACTAGTTCTGAGCATGAAAACTAAATATGTGGACTGCTTCAATTCTGGGGAGTTTTGGGCTGTTGACTTACACAGGTTGGGAACTGAAGAGGGAGAGAGAGAGACTGCACACAGTAGCTGCATGACTGATTGGAATTTATCCTTATGACTGAATCTGAATTTATGTTCAAGCTAAATTGTCTTTTTAAAAATAACACAAGGGGAATTTCCACTGGGAATTTCCACCGAGTCCTTTATCTCTTGCAACCCATATTAATGAACCGCAGCTTTTACAATAATGTCAACACAACAGTTAATCTTCTGGTGTAAACACCACCCTGGATCCATGACTTATAGTACATTGCCATTCAACACTGCCACAGCCAGCTTCTACTGGCATAAAACAGACCAAAAGTTAAATAAACTAAACCATTCCTCAGATTAAAAATGTACATTATGAAAATGTAAATCAGGAAGTGATTGTAATTTAATATTTAAGTTCAGACACCTGGTGTAAACCACTTGATTTTTGCTCTCACACTTCACAAAACTACAGATACAGGTCCCAAGATACATATTTTGGGTCCATATCTTTCTGATCATCTAAAATCTCTTCAACGAGATCACTATGCTGTAAAAAGAATCCATTAATGCCTACTTAGAAATTATATATCACGTATCAAATGTTAGCACTTAAACAAATTGGGGTAGAATTTTCTTTAATAATGATAAATAATTCATAAGTAGAGTTCACAAATTCCATTTGGAAAAGTGTGCCAAACCTTTTTTTTAAAACAATAGCAGTAAAATAGTTTACAACTCACATAAAATATGATGTTGTGAGTTCTGCTGGATCGAAACCCGACACTAAAATGTGCCACAAAATGTTCCATTGGGGAAAGCAATATTGAGATAATTTTCCCAAGCCATAAAATGAAAAGAACTTTTATTACATTGAAGAATAGGTGGTCGAGATCTCAGTTTGACATCTCATCCAAAAAAAGCACCTCCAGCAATGCATTGCTCCTCCAGCCCAATGCAACTATGTTTACTGCATTGATGGAAGTAAAATTGGGCCTACACATTAAATCTTGATTTTATTTGTCACATGAATAACATTTCCTGCTTCCGTAGCTTCTCCGCACAACTCGGCTATCCAAACCCAATTCTCAATCCCCTCCAATGTCAAAAAAGCCCTCATTGTGGTACAGTGATCCATTTGGGGGGCTGGAGGTTACAAGCCTCTCATCCAATACCCGATTTTGTTGGCAGCTTGATGACTGCCAAGTTGCCTGAGTTTAGTTAAGGCCATTTTGACAATCAGTCAGACTCCAGAAAACCCATTCTAACCTACATATTTTCATCAATGATAGTCCCATCGGATAAATTCCAGCTGTAGATTAAACACCCACACGTATGACTAACTAAACACCTTACGTTTCCCATTGCCTCAAACCTTCTGTACCTCAACAAAGGTATACTGTATAGTAAATAAGTTATTAATATGCAAGGATGGTGGAAGGATATATTGGCAGCTCTTCAGGACATGAACCTGAAGCTTATATCTCCTGGTAGCATTGCTGCTAGAATAATTTATCTACTTATGGCTTTTCCTGCTTTCTACTTATAGATGAACTTGCTATCATGGATGATGTTTTTTTTTAAGTGTTTTTTCAAGGATGCATTTATCAATTTCAGACAGATGTTGCAGATTATGTGGCATAACAGTGATTCAAAACAAAAAGAAATTACATGCAACATGACCCAATTTCAAAGTTATTTGTTTCACTTACACCAGTGTTTAAACGCTTTCTTTATTCCAAGACAATTTCAGATCAATCTTGATTTTACTGCACTGTAATCCTTATTCTGAGCTGACATCAACAATCCGCTCCCCACCCCCAATGTACCGGAGTATGAGCCATCGCCAGATGTTTCCTATTAACTTTATCCAGCACATGCATAAAAGGTCTACACCCAAGACTAATACCTCGCTACTTGACCAAAGTATGTGTACTTTTCCCTTGCTCTGACCTTTCCATGATAATATGCTTTAGAAATTAATCCTCTTGTGGATAGCTCAATGGATCTCTGCAATAGTACAAGAAGTCTCTTTGCCACTGCTATTGAGGAAACAAATCATTCTGCCATAGCTGCAGAAACTCGTTCTAAGATAGTACTTCAGGTTCATATTTCGTCGTGTTCTGTTAGTTAGCACAATTTCACAAACCAACATTAGGAAGCAATCCCAAGACAATTCTACATTATGCGGAAAGGGTCCACATTTATTTGCATTTACATTTCGGGCATTTTCCCTTTTCAGCCCCAACCCACCATTTTCAGCAGCTTCCCCAGGGACAGTGCCAGTGCAATATTTTCTGTGGAACTGGTCATAATCTCATGGAGATAAATAACCATTCAGCCAAATTGTTTCCACTCAAACCTATATATTCTGTTCTGCTGGCTTCTTCTAATGCTCTTTGAATCCCTCTATTTATCCATTCCCCACCTTATTGAGCATATTGTATGTTTTTGTTGCAAAATTTGATTTAGCTCTTTTGTACAAAAAATATTTATAATGTAGCCTACATTTTCAAAACAATCACTTTCCTGGGAAGAGAAATGTGCAACATTGACTATTCCTTTTGAACATAAACTAGAACCTTACTTAAGATTAATATATATCCTTTGGTGATGGTTAAAGAGCATTAGGAAACCCAGGTACAACATTCCCTTGAGAATCCATCCCTGTACATCTTGGACTTTGCAGGGAACAGAAGCTTGTATACGTGTGTGATGAATCTTACCTGTAAGGACGAACACACTATCAAAGCTCTTCTCCAATTTGCTCAGAAGGACAGAAAGAAAGCAGTCAGAGGAAAGCCCTCCAATGTCTTGTGTGCATTGGTCATACACCATCACTTCCTGCTTGCTATCAATCTCGATCTGTAATGCCAATGAAGGTGAAATGATCAATACAATGCAATGCCCACAATAAAGCCAATGCAATTTTAACTTAACACGTAAAACAAATGCATTTCACTTTATAAATTAAAAACTATCACTGCTGTAAAAACTTGGAAGGAATGCCACATAAATATACAGTCAATTCACTTTACAGTATATTCTGTGAAGCGCTTCAAGATGTCTCGAAGACGTGATAAAGCGCTATATTAAATGCAAGGATCATTCTGCTTCACTGATACATCTCTGTCTGATCCCACAACCAGGAGTTACAGTTTCTTCTTGTAGATAATTACATAGATAAACAGTAGGAGCTACAATTACCACAAAGCAAGGTCGAGGCAATGTCAGTTCCCCTAAATTCTGATTAATAAAAGGCTCTAACATGGTGAGCATATCAGATCAGAACAGAGCAATCCTACACCTCTGAGTTAAACAATTTTATTTTGCCAGCCATAGAAATGATTTTGCAAGCCACTTATATGGTGGGTAGAAATTGACAAAATATGTGCTGCTGACGGTTTTGTATAATTTGTCTCAGTTTGTGCTCCCTTGGTTTCCAATCTACTGAGTGTTCCAGAAACATTATTAGGTTCGTCATGATTTCCCCTCATCACCTGCAGCAATGTTCCTAGTGTTAAAGGAAATCTATTCAGGAAATTTAAATAAGAACTTGGCACTTTTGGGGAGGGACAAAACCATTTCAACTAGGCAGTTTGTTGTAATGGGGCTAACCTTGACAAATGGTGTTCCAGGATTCACTGGATTGCAAGCACATGTTTATTATAAATGAAGTCTGCCTGATCAACGGCTACATGTTATAAACCTTCATAGCGTTTCTCAGACAGGAACTGAAACCACAGGAATAAAAATTGTTTCTTATGAAAACAGAAGGCTCATCATAATCAAGCCAGTTAAATTGAAAGTTGCCGTATGCCATTTGCTTGTAGTTTCATTTGGCTGTGCTCCTTGTGCTAGTGTTACACAGGCTATTTAAGCAAACTGCTAAAATCAGAAGGGTGCATTTAAATACAAAGGGGGATTTTTCAATTGAAGCATTCTGCACCATACCAAAGCTGTGAAATGTTAATTTAACACTGGATGAGTAATTTTTGCAATGATTCAAATGTGTTGCATTAACCTCCATCCATCCCTCCACTCTAGACTTGCCTGTGAGCCCAGCAAAGAAATAGGTTGACTTATTGCACCTTTTATGACCTCAAACCAAATCATTTGAGAATTCATCCCACTTATCACACAATATCTATTTACTTGTGAAAAAAAACTTACTAGGGCTTGGTATTTGAATGATATGATATTTCTGTCATGACGGATACATGATCCCCTCACAACAAAGCAAAAAACACACCAGAGGTTGTGTATAATAGTGCAATATCTTTCCCCCCTCTGCCAATTTGAGCTCTTGCAGGAACTAACACACAAACTGTGAACACCATTGTGTTGAGTCGATTCTCTACTTCGCCTTGGAGCCAGAAAACAGAGCTACAAAATAAATGTTGGAATGATTTATAAACCTAGCGTTTATAGCGGGGCCATAGTCATGTGCAGAAAAATGTAAAGTTATTATTTAATAAAGAAAGTTTAAAACAACATGATTCCGGGCCTGAAAGCCGCATTTCTCTGGTGAGGAATAAACGTGACAAGTGAATGATCTTTAAGCTTATTGTTTTAGAACAGTTCTGGGTTCCCTTACTGGTCTGGTCACTTCCAAATACTCAACAAAATAACTTACATCCGACTTACAACTGACAAAGGCATTAAGTGCTCAAATGGTTAAAACCCAACAGAAGCATAGGCAGAGAGTTTACTAAATAAAATAGATCTAATGTTAGCTATAAGACTGTGGAGTTGTTTCCTGGGTAGTCCAGTTTTTTGGGACTGAGTAAATTATCTAAAGCGGGAAGGAGGGAGGCGGAAGCAAATAATATTCACGGGAAAGAGACATTTCGGCCCCCTAATTAGGACAAGGCCGCCCCATGGCAGTATTCAATTTGTTTTTTTAAAAGGAGAATGTATTATCCTATATATTTTCCCCTAGTTTCTCATCTTTGGTGTCTCTGGAGATTGTCTGCTGGACCTCTGCTTATGTCACTTGAGCCAACTGCTCGGAGGGATGGAATATCAGGCCAGCAACAACTCTTTACACAGAGGGTGATTGGAATGTGGGATTTTCTGCCACAAACCATTGATGAACCAAAGTCCCTCAATTATATTAAAAAGGTTACAGATGCTTTTTTAAAAAAACAATAGTCTTTTTAGCTTAAAGAACCAAATGCGTCCATCTGAAATCACACCTCAAATTGCTTTGCATGTAGTGTGTAGTAAGCAATGAAAATGTATTCATAATTGTGAATTAAATTGACAGAGAAACATCACAAATTGATTTACAGAAAGAATATCTCATGGGCCTTTAATATGTTTTGATTCATATTTGAGCTACTTCATTTTGTGCATAAAATATAATTAGTTATAAAACAAAGCAATATTAAGAGGGAGTAAGAAGGAGGGTGGGAACAGCCTTGGTGGCTCATGTGGAGAGAAAAAAAACACACCAGCACAGAAGTGAAGGCCTGTTTCTGTGCTATAACATTGTATGATTCTTGTTCCAAATTTCCAGATTTTCCTCCACCCAAATCGTTGGGGAGGCTCCTGGCCAAAACACTAGACCTCCCAACAGCAGCATCTTTCAGCAGTTGGGGGGGTGGGGGATGAACGCCAAATTTGCATTGCTCTGGTGCAATTGCCAGGTTTATATTATTTGACAGAAATATGAGCTTAATTGGCTAGGATGCTGTCAGGGACAAAATCAAAATGACCCCACCACCTTTCTCCAAAGTATATGCTTTTTTTGGAAAGTTCAATAATTGCAACAGCCTTTCACTAGCAAACACCTGTTTGCTCCACAAGTTCTAATAAACTGTCACAACAGCAGTCTACACAAGATTTCAACAAAGGTGAAAGGAGCTGCTTCAATAACCTGTGGATCAAGTGCACTATGTTCATCAGTGCTGGGGTCCAATAATCGGAAGCAACAACAATAACTTGCATTTAGATAGCACCCTTCATTCAAAACTCTGGAACTCCCTTCCTCATTCCCTTCGCTCGCCCCTTCTCTTCCTACTTTCAGGTCTCTGCTGAAGACCTTTCTTTTCGACCGCGCCTTTGGTCACCCTCCCACTGGCTCGGCCCAAGGATCCATTACTGTGAAGCGCTCTGAGACTCCGTCCGGCGTGGAGGGCGCTATATAAATCCAAGTTGTTGTTGTTGTTCACACCTCAAATGTATACTTTGGGTTAGGAAGGGGAACAAAAATCGGGCAGACGCCCACTCTTAATCACTATCCAAAGCCTCCTAATAGTGCATTTGTACAGATGGCAGGTGAGGACCGAATCGGACTTTACTGAAACACGCCATCAATCCTCATGTCAAGCTCACATGTGAATAATGCAATGGCCACTTGGGCAAGGTGCTGAGTCAGTACCAAAGTGGAAAGTAATGTGATACCTCCAGGAGAGATTTAAAAAAGGGGGGTTGGGGGGTGTGGGGTGGGAAGGAGGTAATGAACACACTATACCACACAACAATCCTAGGCATAAATTACACTGAGAGGCAAACGTCATTCAGATTTGCAGCTGCAGATGCCTGTGGTCACCAATTGTATTGCATAGACTTTCTGGAGTCTGGACCATGGTTATAAGGCTGCAATTACCATTCTGACAGATTTCTATTCCACAAAAGCACTGACCAAAACACCAACCAAAGCAATGGATGAGATCCCAAACCTTTTTATTAGGATCCAAGATGCAACATCTTAAGATCACTGCCAAAAAAGCCCCACAGCGTTGATGCTAGACTTACAGTCAAAGACTATAAAGTAATCACAGTGTAGAAGGCAAGAGCCCACATGGCTTTAACATTGCTGGTATAATAACTTTGACCCCATTAGCTAAGATAAATCACTGGATACAAAAGTACCATAACTCACTTATCGCATTGTTTAAGCGGTGAATACGAAGGGCAGCTTAACACTGCAATACAATGCAGCTCAAATCTGGGGTAGAATGGAGCTGTAGATTGTAGATCAGTTTGGTTCCTCATACAGCTAGTGAATTCTTTACCTTAACCTTACAGTTCTGGGGAACACTCATCAAAGGCTAGGCACTTCTCAATAGAGAGAAAGGATAGGACATTTTTTGGAGGAGGCCACAATCATTATTTTTGTTTTGCCTCTCCTAATAACTGGCTAAATACAGTAGCAAGATTGGCAAAAATGTGAGAGCGCAGTCTGTTCTCTCACCAGTAAAGGTCCATTGCAAGAAGCAGCAGCATGCTGGGTACCTCAATTCGATTAGAGGTGACCTTTCTAATCTGCTAACCTGGTTCAGAACCCAGCGGCTCCTCTCAGGTAAACAGGGTGAACTCGTCCCAGAGAGAAATACCTTGTAAACCAGGTAGCTTCAGAATAGACATTGGCACACCCTGGCAACCAAAGTCCTAGCAGATGGAGCGGTTTTCACTGGGTAAGTTCAATGCTACATAATCATGTATTTATCCAAGGGTTGGGAGAAAAGACATTGGGTATTCCTGATATCATTGGAGTAACGACTTGGAGAAGATGATATGAGAAGTGAAAATGTTTTCCAGTAACAATAAACACTGCTTAAACCCTCCCAAAATACACAAGTTAAATTCCACACACTTAACTGGATCCCTCTACCATGTCAGTGTAAACCCTACTGATGTTTCAGATATAATTTTCTTGCTCTTTTTTAATCCCCCAAAACAGTTTGTTAGTTTGCAAAGAGCTTAGATCAAAGAGGTTGCTCAGCTTGGTCAGACAAAAATCTCAGTTCCTTCCCCCAGATGATAATGCTTCACAAATCCATCATTCTCTAGCTTTCTCACTCACACACACTCACTCAACACTTGTACACCAACGCATAGGGATGGTGTGCCAGAAAGCTTCATGCACTGTGTCAATATGCTTATAATAGAAAATTCCATTAACTGTGCACATGAAAGTGCACCAACCGTACCAGCACAAAGACAGTTATCTGTATGAACATTAACTTGTTACTAAAATAGGAAAATAAAAACTTCTGTCCTCCCCCCACTACATTTTCCCATTTGTATTGACGTTTTTGCACCCTTTCAGCTCGACTTCGATGGCAAGTTTGTTATTGGTAGTACATGGTAATCAAGCAGCCAAACTATAATGAGAATATTACTGGGTATTTCCCCTTTGAAAGAATTACAATATGACAAATATTCAGTTACTCTCAGACAGAGATGGAGTCACTTCTCAAATAGATTTCAAAATCGAACCCCAATTTTAATGAACTAAGAAGAAGCCAGTCTTAAGGCAAGTAGCCTTTTGCTTCTAACCTTTTGCTTTGCAGCGTGCTGGATGAGTTCTGTGATTTGTACTTTATCTTGCTGAAGTCTTCTTTTCATGAGCTTTGAGCAATTAATATTCATAGCGTCCAAGATGTGTGAAGCATTGTACTCAACAAAAGAACGAGTGTCAATAAGCAGCACTCTCTCTGTGCCACTTTCCAGCAATCCCACCAGCTTCACGGCAGCTATCATTTGAGTTCTGGCCTTCATACCTGCCATGGTGACACAGCCAGGCCCCCAAGATGATGGGATGTTTATAGGAAAAGAATCAGCCACTTCATTACAGCATAAGTTATGTCATGTAGATTGGGATTGACAGATGAGAGCAAAAACAAAATCCATTTCAACACCGTATAAAGCCGTCAATGTTTATCACTATCGATGTCGTGTCACAAGCTTCACTGTGGATTCACTGGTCACTGCTTCGAGACACCATCTTCCACTGAAGACGAAAGACACGGCAGCGTTTCCTCACATCATTTTTCAGCTCAGTCTTCTAGACGTTACATCCGAACTGGGAAACCTGCAAGCAAATTGTTAAAAACACTGTGTTTAGAAAGAGCAGTCTTAGAATAAGAAAATTAAAGCACTGAGTTCAGTCTTAGGTATCTTACTTTAGGAAAGATGTTAAGACCTTGGAGGGGGTGTAGAGGAGATTTACGAGAATGATGAAGGGCTTTAACTATGAGGAGAAATTGTGGAGAAGTTCGGTCTATTTTTACTGGAGTAAAGAAGATTGAGAGGGGATCTGTACATTATCATGAGGGGTTTTGACAGGGTAAATAAGGAAAATATGTTTCTACTGATAGGGGAGTCAGTGACTAAAGGACATAGATACAAGTTAGTCACAAGAAGACCAGAAGGAGGGTTGAAGAGAAATGTTTTCACACAGAGAATTGTTGGGTTGTGGAATGCCTTGCTAAATAAGACAGGGGCAGAACCCATTATGAGTTTCAAGAAGGAAGTATACAGATATGAAAAATAAAGGCTTGAAGAGGTAGGACCATAGGGTTAATGAATGAATGAATTAATTAATTAATGAATTAATGAATCAATGAATCAATGAATCAATGAATCAATGAATGAATTAATGAATTAATTAATTAATGAATGAATTAATTAATTAATTAATGAATGAATAACTTGCTCTGAGCACTGATGCTGACTTGATGGCCCAAATGAAATCCCTCATGATTTTGCATACATGTCAGGTCCCCTCTCAACCTCTCTGTTTCCACGCACTCTCATTTGAATGGTTCTCACAATGTCATCTTTGCCCTAAACTGGCTGGATCTTGATTCTCATCTTACATGACGTTATTCATTATACAATTGCACTGAATAAAACCTTTGGCACCTAAGGGCCTTGTAATGAGGATCAGTGGGTAATAGAGGGCACAGGTTCAGATAAAGATTTAATCTCATACGAATACCAGCTGTAAAGTACAATACACATTTAAACACAAACACGCGGCTACTTTTGGGAATCTTGGAACTTGTATTCTGCAGTCATGATTGCTAAAACCATGGGATCAACATCTTACAAGTGTGAAATAGAAACTGTGAGCCACAGCATGATGTGCCAAAATAACACAGCACTCATTCATAGCACACAATGTTCCAGGCTTCAAGGTTCTTCCATATCAGTGGCACACTGAAACCTAAAAGAGGATCCCAGATAAGCGAGGAGAAAAAATGCCTATCTGCCAGGGATACCAACCCTGATTATTACCCATTGACTTCCTTGTGGGAAATTAGCTATCTTTGGACCTGGGGTGAGGGCAATCTCAAGTGTACATGTAATAATTGAGTATGCCATTAGTTAACTTTGGGCATGTTAACCTGGCTGCAATACCCTTCATGGGTGAGAACAGCTTGGGTGAACCCTCACCATTTTAGGCTCAGAAATGAAGAAAGACTACCTAGACAGTGCTGCCAGAACACAAACAATTTGCTTCTTTTTTGCTCAATACCATGTCTTCCTGGTTGTAATTAATGGTCAACTACAAGTAAGCATGACTGCATTTTTCTGACACCAGCGAGCAGCGGAACCCTCAATAATAGATTACATTTTGGATTTTAGGAACTATGGGCAATAATTAGAAATATACTATAGATATAGCAAGGAAAACAGGCAAGGATGAATGATACAGTCTCAAATAATCTCAATTGCCTAACTATCTTATCGGGTAAATTAAAACAGTGGGCTTAACAATCAGCAGACATATTTATGACAACAATGGTTTGCATTTATATAGCATTCTTCCTGCAGGATAATATCTCAGAGAACTTTGCAAAGATGGGATCAGGCACCGATCAAGGGAGAAGGGGTGGAATAGTGTGAATGAGTAACTGATTTTAACATGCCCAAAGTTATCTAATGGCATACTCAATTATTACATGTACACTTTTAAGAGGTACAGATAGCAGTTCAATCAATATCTGGAGGAGAAAGACCAGATTAGCTTTTCAGTGGGATTTTCCAGCAATTCTGTCATGTCAGATGTTGATTATGATTTTTGATTTACTGTAAAGTTACAGAATTTTCTCATTTTATATCTACACCTGCAAACCTCATACTGGTAGCACCTAAGGTCAAAATTAATCACCATCACTACTGTGTTGGAGGTGGAAATCGTGGAACCAAATCCTGCAGGGGGTGGGGTGTAAAGTATCAGGCAAGTTTCTCATAAGCTACCAATCTCACTATTACTGCTATCCTGGAACAATGACTACTTTATCTTCAACTGTTGAACCATCAGGAAGTACAGGTCTAAAAGAACAATTGGTTTCTAAGCAACGGCATATTTTCCTTCAATAAATATAGCTTGTCCTGAACATTACCATTTCTTCATAGTATAACTGCCGATTGTTCCAAGTTGAAAACGAATTTAGTTGACTTTGCAACTCAATTCTACTCAGCTGTGGCAGTATAGATACAGTAGTTGTCTTCTTTATGATGCTGAAATACAATTTAAATTTTATCACATTACTTAATACAGGTTGCCCAAGGGATTTTCTGGCTGAAATGCAAATATTTTTATTAATGAACAACATGATCCCCTTTTGCCAGACTACTTGTATAATATAATAATATAATATGATATATCCAGAGTAAAGATTTTTTTAATATAATCCACAAAGACCTAATTCCTGTTTCCTCAGTATAGCATTTGCACTTCAATAAAACTTCTACAGGTGACAAAAGGGGAGAAAAGAGAAAAACAAATTTGACTTGCTAAAGGAGATTGGATTGATATGTTTTACATCCTTAACTCAGAATGATTAACCAAAGCATGTTAACGTTGATACAATTTCCAATCTGAGGAGAAAAACAAATTTCATCTTGTATGAAATTTAAGCACTTTCTGAGACATCCACCAGACGTGAAAGGTGCTATACAAATGCAAAGAAAATGTAGAAAAATAAATCTATGGAGCTGAGTTCCTAGTGTGCTTGGTTCCAAATTGATTTGTAACGTGTGTACAAGTTCTGACAGATCTCATAATTCCCTTGCCGTTCACTCTTTGATAATCCACTATTTGTTTGCTATATTTAGAATATTTTTATTATCTTCATTGATGCATGTAAAGAACTGTATATTGCATCCACAAGAGTAAATGTTGTCAGAGTAATGAAGAACAATGAGTGGAGAATAGGTAAGCGCATCATTGACTTACTTCTGGGACTTGGGTTGTTATCCAGTTCATATTTGATGGAATGAAAGTCTCCTTTCTTTCTCACTGCCACTTTCACACTGCAAAATGATTCAGGGCAGTTCAATATAATTCCGAATGGCCATTATCTCAGCACGAAATTGCCTTCAATTCAGTGCAAGTTATCAATCTCACTAAGAAAGGCTACAACAACAAGTTGCATTTATATCACATCCTTCACGTAGGACAACATCTCGGAGCACTTTACAAGGATGGGGTTAGATGTCGGGTAACGGAGAGCAGAGGAAGACAGCCATAGACTATAAAGATATGGGGAATGGAAGATATTCACTTTGTCCCTTGCTTTGTCCCTATTCCTTTACTGTTGTAGGATTTTTTCTACTAAATTTTAAGTGGTTAAATGGATTACTTTCATACTATTTGAATATTCTTTATCAAACTCATTGACAGGAATGATATCATGTTAAATTATGTAGCATTGTTTATTTGTATTTATTTAACGCTTCCTCCCAGAGAGGTGTTTTTTCTTCCTCTTCAATTAGGTACAGTGAAAATATAATTAGACTAGCTCATATTTATTCCCACACCAATCATCTTAATTCTTCTCTTAACCCCCTCCCCCCATACAAACATGATTGACAACTTCTAAACACAATTCAAACCAGGCTTGCAAAAACCCATTTGCCAGATGCAAAGATCATTAGTTCTTGGGAAACTAGTGGGATAACAGTTGCTGCTCACTAATGCCATAATTACAATGAGAAATGCCATCATAACCATAGAATAAAACATTCAATGGCATTCATGACTCCATGGAGTGGAATTGGTCAAAGTCTCAGGACAGTTCCCCCTACTCATCTTCAATAACAAATTGTGGCAATAAGCTATTGGGAAAGGACAGAAATTTAAAAGAAATGTGTGAAGCAAACATTGAATCGTAGCACACTCGCACTGAGTTTTTATTGAGGGTAGGAATGTTCAATATCTTTATCTGGACTCTGACAATTTGATGAACTTGGCAAATGCTATTTTCAATAATTATCTCAAAATGCATATGAGGCAAAGGTTAAAGCTGTTGTGTGTTGCCTTCAAAAACAGCCTGTCAATAGTTGCTTTTACTTTATTCCTTAGTTAAACTCAAGTAACCTTTTGTCCTCTTAATTACTCAAACTGAAAAACAAAAACTCCTTTTATATTCTTAAGGGTACAAAAGTCACTTTCCATTTATCATAGTTACTGCATTTAGCACAAGTGAACAGTTTGGTGGAATTTTTCTGGTTTTACACAAAATTGATTGTGATGAATCTAATTATCGCCTAACAGGGTGACCAAAAAGTCTTATTTTTCAGCTAACCTATTATCTAAAAAGAAATCATCATTTCTTTAAAACTTATTAGACATTGTAATGGTATCACAACTTTTTGGTCATCCTGTAGAATTACATAGACTACTGCACTGAAACAGACCATTCAGCTCAACTGGATCATGACGGTGTTTATATTCCACATGAGCCTCTACCTGTCCTCACGCTATCTCCCTCTATTCCCTTCTCCCCCATATGTATGTACAGGAAGTGACATCTGCGGCAATCTAATGCCTTATTGATAATAATACAATTTCTCTCCAGCATTGTACAGATCACTGGTTATTTGCCTGTGCAAAGTTAGCAAGAGTTTGGAGCATCCTTGCTGATCTATTAATATTTTGTGCCCACCCTCCCTCGCATGTGTGAGGATGTGGGGTTAGGACTTGACTGGTCTCAGCTGTGTTCTCTTAGCCCCTTTGTGTGGTTGAATATCCTGCTGACAGTCCCAGACAAGATTTACAAGTGACAATTGACCACTCAG